ACTGTGTTTCATGTTGGACATTCTTCAGCAGCATATATAGTTATATTTATAATTATATATAGTTATATGTAGTTATATATATATGTTTATCTGGTTTTTTTTGATAGAATTATAAATTGATTATACATTATATATATATAACTTTAAATAACTATATATAACTATTTACATATATACATGAGTGAAGAGCTTTATTAAATAGATGAAACAATGATATCAAAATAGTTCTAGTCCTGCCAATTCCAAAATGTGGTCTGCCTTTATTGTACATTAAAAATGACCAGAGATATATATGCATTATGCAAAGTCGTCTGATTAACTGTCAAATAATTCCTGGTCTTTCTGGTTATGACTGTGTAAATAAAACAAAACCTTTTGTTGAATTTTAGCTTCTAGGAAAGTAATCAGTTTAGTAAAAACAGAAATTTTGTCTTTAGTCAAAAAATTCTCACAAATAAAATTTTTTAACAATTTCCCGAAAAAAAATCATTTTAATCTCATTGTTATCATTATTATTATTATTATTATTATTATTATTATTGTGTCGTATTATGACAAATCTACAAAAAAAAATCTAAAACAAAATTTTTTAATTTTTTTAATTGAAGAACTTTCGTACTTTGCCCCCCCCCTGGCCCTAAAAGAAAAGAAGTTTATACAACGTTAAGCCCCCCACCCCTCATTATCAAATTCCTGCATTCGCTTGGGAATCACCTTTTTGCACAACAAAAACTTTGTGAATGTTTAAAAACTTGTTCTTTTTCTCTATTTGGATTGAAATATGTCACATTTATTTATTTTTAGATAGGAGTGTATTATTCTGTATAATGTATATTTTTCAATAAAGAAAATGAAAGTTTAGGGCTTAAAAAAATAAAGAGTATCAAAAGGCAACTCTTTCATTTGTTTTAATACTTTTTACCCAAAAATTCATTGATTTTCCTCTAACAATTTCCCCCAATTCAGCGAATATAACCCTGAAAAAAAAGCAAATATTTCTTCTGGAAAAAAATATATATTTTAAAAAGGGGGAGGGGGGGGAGTAAAATGATTTTTGGAGAAAATATACACCCCTGTTTTTGGTAAGGTAAATAAGATTTGATTTCGAATCAAATCATGGCATCCCAGAATAAGATTTGTAAGATTACCCAGGTCCGGTCCAGTTTCAAGTTTTTCTCTGAGTTGTTGAACCTTGTTCACATCTGTCTCTGTCTGAACAATTGTATTTTTTAAAGGGAATGTTCAATAATTTGGAATTTAAACATCCCTTTTTTTAATTATAAAACATTTACAAAAAAACCTTTATTTTCTTTATATAAGGGATATCTTCAAGAAGTTGGATACCAAGTTTGGTTTTGTCTGGGTTTATATTGATCTACCAGGGTTTGTAATCTGGCAGCACATTCATCCATCCACGCTTCATTCATACTGAGAAGAGGGTTGACAAGATTCCAGCTTCTTAGGCCTGAGAATAGTAGAGTGCAGGAATTCTTCTGATATACTGGAATGAGGCTCGGGTGCCTTACAGACAGGAAACATCACAATCATTGCTCATAGTCATTTGTAAGTCCGGATTGGATACCCCCAGGTACCTATAGATGGCAACCATAGACTCTCCCTGCATGTCCACCTTTCCTCTCTTCATTCTCAATCACTTGGATCAATCCATTTAAAGCTTCTTTCTTGTTGAATAGAAAGAATGCACCCTTTCGCTGCGATAGTTGTTGACAGCCGCCCTCTGGCCTCCTACATCCGTCAGATGGTCATAACTGCTTAACCAGATTTTCTTCCTTTGTCTCTAATCACTATTTCAGTGAACCGCATTTAAAAATAAGAACTTTTCAGATGGAAAAATAAGGCTAACCCCATTATTCCGCTTATACCAATGTTTAAAGGGATACCATTTTAAATCAAACATTTAAAAAAACAAAAACAAAAAACACTTGAAATTCCGTTAAAGAATCAAAAGTTATGAGTAACCATTAATCACCTGAGATGAGTAAGAGCAGTGGCATAATAAGTTTGGACCAAGAATGTTTGCCTGAACCCTGCCGAATCCCTGAACTCCACAGATTCGAGATAAACCGCATATAGACATTCTTCTGCAATATTTAATACGGAAATTAGGGATCCCTTAGATTCTTAATAATTTTAGAAATTATAATTTTTTTAATTTGTCCATGGAAAATTAACTTAGCAAAACTTACATAAGCATTTTTGAACCTATTAACAATAACACAAAAATATCAAAAATATATTTTTCTTGTTACACCTTAACATGAGATCATTATGTAGCTTCTTAACATGTAGCTTCTCATTAAAATTATTTCAGAAATAAATTTTTTTATATTTAGGCATTCTCAGCTGTTAAGTATTCTTATTTCTAAATGATTTTACTTTTTAAAATTTAAAACTTTTCTATTCAAAAATAGAAAATTTTCTAGTGTAGTTCCTTAAATAAAGTGGCTTGCAGATAAGCTGCAGAAAATAAAAAAAAGGAAGTTGACAGAATTCAATACTTTTCAAAACAAAATATACGAAATCTTTCTTATTGTTGCTGAGATATAGGTGAAAAGAGTGTAACACCATTGTGAATCTGACATGCAACTCTTCTTTGATTTATTGATTGATTGATCTTCAAATGGAAGATCACTGAAAGTCTCTTTAAACTGTGGATACCCGGTAAAAAAAAAATATAAAAAAGAAAAATCAAGAATACAAAGTTAACATTAAATGTTAAATCCAACTTTGCACCATATCTTCTGGTAAAGCGGTGTTTTTATGCTTCTGACAGACTGCATTTTCCGTGTGGTACTTCAGAGCTGTGGTATCCTGGAACCAGAGGTATAAATATATATTTAGAAGAAGAATCCCCCCCCTCCCCCCGAATCTATGAAGCAGTAATCTCTGTATGTTTTTCCGATCACAACTCCTAAACCCCTACGCCAATTTGCCTCAAATTTTGATTGTGAAACTCTGAGATAACCACGGAAGTGTTCTTAGCTTTGTTTTAAGATTCTAAGTTGAGTGAGTCCACTTTTAGAGGGTAAAATAGCTAAAATAGTAATTTTCCACCAATCTCGAGTAAACGGCGGGAGGAACTATGAGTACACTGTGCAACACTAGGTTCTCAAGCTAGTAAAATAATAAAATTAAAATACTGGAAATCAAATGGAAATATTTTCCTCCTTTATTGAAACTTGTTGCTTCATAATACAATTATTTTTTATGAGTTTGGGAAAAGACAATGCAAAGCAAGTTTTTCATCCTTTATGATACTTTTCTTTCCCCTAAAAATCAATTATTTTCCCCGATTCTTAAAGAAAAAATTTAATAAATTTGTCNATAATATCATGTTTATTTCTCTGGTCTACCTATATTCTAATATATTATAATATCATGTTTATTTCTCTGGTCTACCTATATTCTAATATATTATAATATCATGTTCATTTCTCTGGTATACAGTTACATGTACAGGTACAGGTACAGGTTCTTTGATTAATGGTACAATTAAAGGTAATTACAAGTTAACTTCGAACGAGTTAAGAGGAACAGTAACTTTTATTATGCATGTTTCAGAATAAACCAGTGAAATTATCCCCTAATAATCGTTGTAATTCCCAGCATGGGGAAAGGGAGAAACAGAAGAAAGGCAAAAAAGCCCAGGCAAAAGAAGTTATTTGCTGGTGCTAATAAAGAGGAAAAATTAAAATTAGTTCATTGGAACATTAATGGAATATTGAGAGATTCCAAGCTCGAACATCTAGTTGAAATACTCAACGAAGAGAGCATAGGAATATGTTTTCTTAATGAAACGTTATTGGTACATGGTACAAATGATGACCTGTCTAGTCTTGATTCATTCATTGTTTACTCCAAAGAGCGTCCATTTGGATCAAAAATGGGGGGAGGTCTGATGACCATCATTAACCCAAGCATCAACCATTCCCGGTGGGAGCCCGGGTTAGTTATGCATCCGTACCTAGATGCTGAATGGTCTTGGTTATTGGTGCATGAAGGGGGACGAAACGTGGCTGTATGCTCTATATACTGTGCAGCTGAAGTGCATGGGAGCTCTTATGATTCATGGAATTTTGACTTACATGCAATGGTTTCAGCTGAAATGGGCACTATTAGAAATGAGGGGTATGAGTGCTTGATTATAGGGGATTTTAATGGCCACATTGGATGTGACGCACAGGGAATCCCAGGAAACAACCCAGATATAAATCATAATGGAGCACTTGTACGTGATTTCATTCATTACACAGGACTGAATTTGGTTAACAGTGATCAAGCTCGGTGTTCAGGTGTCTTTACAAGTAATATCATGTTTATTTCTCTGGTCTACCTATATTCTAATATATTATAATATCATGTTTATTTCTCTGGTATTCATAATGGAGCACTTGTACGTGATTTCATTCATTACACAGGACTGAATTTGGTTAACAGTGATCAAGCTCGGTGTTCAGGTGTCTTTACAAGAGCAACATTAAACTCTATTTCTTGTCTAGACCTAGTGTTAGAGGATAATAAAGTGGGGGAGCTAGTCGAAGAACTTTTCATTGATGAGAATAACAAAGTGTTGGGTGGAAGTGACCACTCAGCGTTGTTTGTAACTCTCAAAAATAATGTCACCCAACTACCCCAGGATGAACCTGAAGAGGTTCGTGTACCTAACCCGACAAAAAAGAATGCTAACAAGTATGCAGAGCGGCTTGACTCTTTGCTGAAAGAGCAAGACTGGACTATAATGGATATTAATGCTCAGTGTGAGTTTTTTATATCTTCTGTCAAGAGTGCTGCAATGCATTTGGCTGAGTCAAGGCCACAGTTCAAGTACAAGAAACGTTCGTCAGGACCTGAAATGCTTACTGGATGCATGGTTATGTTTGGTAGCTCCACCTTAAAAGGTAATGTCAGGTAGCCTAGTACTTCCCTGGTAGGCTGTGGTAAGATACACCTCTGGACTCTGATCCTGCCACGCCTCCTGGTAGTATTACCTTCCCTGGGGCCACGTAAGGTCCCACACTAAATTTGGGGTTGATCGGTTCAGCCGTTTTGACGTTTATTGGATACAAACAAACAGACAGACAAACAAACAAACAAACAGACACCCAGACAAGCTGAATTTATATGTAGATTACTATGCTTGTCTATCTGTCTAAATAAACATCTAAACGGCTAGATCTGTTTGTTTAAATCCAACCAATGTTATAACCGCTAAACAGATCACGTCAACAAGTGTTGTGGTAACTCACAAAGTTTATAGCCAGAAGAAAAGAAAATTCCCTGTTATCTGAACAAACATGACAGCAAATATCCTGGTTTTTCTCTCTTAAAATTAATAATTTTCCGTTGACATTTCTCCAGGAATAAGGGAGGAGACCAGCGAAATAATATCTTTTTTAAATTAAAAAAAACGACAATTTCTTCAATATTTTGACTAAAATGGATGTTTAAATATGATATTATTGTACCAAAATTGGACTAAGATAATATATCGTAATTATGTAAATTTGAATATATATCGTCTACACGTTAAAGTCTCCTGACACAAACAAACTTACAATGTGTCTGAACAAGTTGGCTGTCTTGAAGAACTCTCTGCTGCACTCATCACATTTATGAGTTTTCTCCTAAATCCAGAGATGAATCAAATTTTTATATCACATCTTTCGTTTTTAAATATTTGGGAAATTTACTTTGTAAGAAAGAGTAATAATGTCTAGGAAGTCAAATGTAATAAAAAAAATCAAAAGAAAAGAAAGGTAGCAAGAAAAAAAGGTAGAAAGAAAGAAAAGTAACAGGAAAGAAAGTTAACAGGAAAGAAAAATAACAAGAAAAAAGGCACAAAGACAGAAAGGTAGAAAAAAAAAAGTAACAAGAAAGAAAGGTATTTAAAAGAAAAAAAGTTAAAAGAAAAAATGGTTGAAAGAAAGAAAAGTAGAAAAGAAAATAAACTGGAAAGAAAGGTAACAAGAAAAAAAGGTAACAAGAAACAAAGGTAACAAGAAACAAAGGTAACAAGAAACAAAGGTAACAAGAAACAAAGGTAACAAGAAACAAAGGTAACAAGAAACAAAGGTAACAAGAAACAAAGGTAACAAGAAACAAAGGTAACAAGAAACAAAGGTAACAAGAAACTAAGGTAACAAGAAAAAAAGGTAACAAGAAAAAAAGGTAAAAGGTAAGAAATATAGAACGATAGAAAAGTATAAAAAAGAGAAAAGTAACAGGAAAGAAAGGTAACAAGAAAAAAAGGTATCAGGAAAGAAAGGAAACAAAAAGAAATGTAACAAGAAAAAGGGTAAAAGGAAAGAAAGGTAGAAAGAAAGAAGCGTAACAAGGAAGAAAGGTAGTAAGAAAAAAAGGCAACAAGAAAGAAAGGTAGTAAGAAATAAAGGTAGTAAGAAAGAAAGGTAACAAGAAAGAAAGGTAGTTATCCATACATATATTAAGTAATAAACCACGAAACATATAACAGACAATTATACATTTTGTTCACATTTAACTGCTATACAATTAAAATCTGATCATGTTATCTATATCGTGGCTTAGGTTATGTTGGGTTTAAATCTAGGCCGAGCGCTGTGGCTATTAATCTAGGCCGAGCGCTGCGGCTAGTTTAACACTTTGTTTTTAATTTTAGATCAAATTTTTAGAACTCTAAAGAACATTACTTTAGGATTAGGCTTTGTTGCCCGATTACAATTACACTCTGCCCATGTTATCTATATTATAGGTGGGTAGGGCCTCTTCTTCAGGTGTAGTCGAGGTTTCGTGATTAAAAAAATATATTTCTGTTTAATCGGGCAAAATTACCATGATTTCAATACCTTGTACGTCCTCGGGGTGAACTGTTATTTATGAAGCCGGCCTCTTGTTCTTGTCTTATGCTGTTCTCCATAAAACTTCTGTTCTCTACAATACTCCTGTTCTCTAGAAGTCCTGCTTTCTTGTTATTTATCACCCTTTCACTAGGGCAGGGCGCCGTTAACCAGGAATAATCGTTTTTTAAATAACGAACAGGATTTTCCATAAACGTTTAGAAAGTTAACAAATACAGTTTTTCAAGAATCTGCAACGATCATAGCTTAAAGAACGTCTTGGACGAAAAAAAAAAGTTGTTTCTTTTGTTAACAATCAAGAACATGTTTTACTGTTAACTGTCTCACAATCAACCATCATTGACGACCTAAATGTTAACCAACAGTAAGAATCTCAGGCAATCACATCTATATATAAATTTAGCTTGTCTGTTTGTTTGCTTGTATCCATTAAACGCCAAAACGGCTGAACCGATCGGGCCCAAAGTTTCTGTGGGACCTCACGTGACCCCAGGGAAGGTTTATTATGAATGCTCAAAATTTTAAAAATTTGTGTTTAAAAGTTTTTTGTCAAATTTTGAAAATGCGCGAAAAAATCTTATGAAATCCGCAAACTTTTTTGTTGTTTTTGTTTTATACTGTACAAAGAGAAGATGCTCATAGATAAAGCCACAATTAAATGTTGAAATAGAAGATGGGCGCGAAGCGCGCTAAACGCCTAGCATTTCAAAAACTGAAGGAGATAAATCTTGAACGTTTAGTTTCTGGGGTGCAATGTTTTCAAGAGTTTATTTTTGATGATCTTGGGAAAATACTAAGAATAGGACATCAGAAGTCAAGTTTTTTTCATTCTTTTTGATACTTAAACACGACAAGTCATTTATTTACCCCTGAAAATCATAAATTTTCCCCAAATTCAGCGTATAAAATTCTAAAAACAATAGATCTGGTTGTTATTTATCACCCTTTCACTAGGGCAGGGCGCCGTTAACCTTTATACTGTACAAAGAGAAGATGCTCATAGATAAAGCCACAATTAAAAGTTGAAATAGAAGATGGGCGCGAAGCGCTCTAAACGCCTAGCATTTCAAAAACTGAAGGAGATAAATCTTGAACGTTTAGTTTCAGGGGTGCAATGTTTTCAAGAGTTTATTTTTGATGATCTGGAAAAAAAATTTAAAACAGGACATCGGAAGTCAAGTTTTTTTATTCTTTTTTGATACTTTAAACACGACAAGTCATTTATTTACCCCTGAAAATCATAAATTTTCCCCAAATTCAGCGAATAAAATTCTAAAAACAATAGATCTGGGCGAGAAATTAATCTTAAAAAAGGGGGGGGATGATTTTTTGAGATAATTTACACCCCTCCTAGTGCGGTTCAGAAAACCCTATTAAAGGGCCTCGTTAACGAACGTTTGTCAAAATTCAAGGTGCCCAGCCCTACCCTTCACTGTTTTCTACAATACTCCTATTCTCAAGAAGTCCTCCTCGCTGACTCTCATTCTTGTTTCCAGAGTTGATAACATTTTTGTTGCATTCCTCTCTGGGAACATAATCTGGAGAATATTTTATTTTAAAATGTACTTTAAGCGTAATTTCAAGTGACCCTCCATGCAAAGAGGGTAAAGCCAGATTTACAACGGTAGGTTTAACTAAACACCTTTGTGTGTTCGTCGTGTCCATAATATTAAAGTTACCTAAACGCCTGTAGTCAGCTGAAAATACCGGTGTGTGCACTGTGAAGTGTGCACGTACAGTCTCAACTCATTACAGCGCAGCACCCACCGGTATTTTTAGCTGACTACAGGCGTTTAAATAACTTCAAACATAAATTACGCTTACAGTCCCTTTAAATGTTTAGATTTTTACGGTCACTGTTAAAGGTAATAAATCAAATCAAATCAAATCACAAAGGGCGGGGATGACAATGAACTCCAGTAATAAAAACATGCAAAGTATGTTTCGACCACATCCCAATTTCCAACGCTTAATGTTACAAAAACTAACAAAAATTCAGTCATAACCACCGGAAGGAATGGCGTCTTTGTCCAATCTTCAGATTATTAATGCCACTAAAGATCTTGTATTTTGTCTCAGTTAGGACGGATACTTTGATGAATGTGTTCAGGGCCAATTTTCAGAGTTGCGAATTTTAAAATCCACCAAAGTGGCATTTCTATTCTTAAAGAGATAGTTAGCGTAATTTCAAGTAACTTACAGTAATAACCAGAAAACTCTGAAATAGTTTAACTAGACACTTTTTAAAACACTAATTAAGTAAAATGAGTGTGTTTAAACTGTACAATTGCTGTGTCCTGTGCTTATTGGACCATTTAAAGTCATATCTTCTGTCTGAAAGTTGTCTTCACATTTCAGAGTTTTCAGGTTATTACTGTACCATGTAAATTGATGGCAATGCCCGATTTACAACGGTACCACTGAATTAGAATTCCATGTTTTTGTGTTATAAACCTGTTTTTTTTATTTGTGGTTTCTCTGCTGAAGTGAATTGCATATTTCTTGCAGCTTTTACAAAAGACTTTTCGAGTCAGAAAAACGACGTTACCTTCCAAATTTTTATCAGGTAAAGGTACCGTTGTAAATCTGGCGTTGCCCTTTTTACCTGGAGGGTGAATAGAAATTACGTTTACAGCCCCTTTAAGATTTAATAAAGACGACTTTCATTCCACTGTAAACAAATCAGCGAAGGAAGTGCTTCATTTTCTTAAATTTTTTTTCAAATTTTACGCAATATTTTCAGAAAAAAGCGGAAAAAGCGTCGTCTTTGTTCAATGTTTTTTCAAGACCCATGATATTGCGGACTCCTATCCTATGCACTGCATGCAATAAACTTACCACTGAATAATTGTTGATGACTTGAATTGATTGATTGATTGATTGTGCTGATTACACTGTAGGGATGATCAATCCGTTCCTCCACATCCATCTTAAATAATTAGTTAATCATTGAATTAACTTGATTAAATCAACTGTTAAAATCAATTAAAACAAAATAACTGATCAATTTAATCAATAAATTAATTATTTAATAAAATCCATTAAGATAATTGTCAATTAAACAAAATACTTAAATTAATTCAATTAGTGTATTGCTAATTGATTAGTTGACAATTAAATCAATTATTGCATTTAATCAATTTATATTATATAAAATCAATTAGTTAGTTCTTTGATGAGATCTGAGAAATCAATCAATCAATTAGCTAATCAGTTAGCTAATTAGTTAATTGTTTAATTATAAATACAAATATAAAAACAAATAATAACGCTGTTTAAGATACACAGTAGGTCAAAATTCAGCAAAATTAAAGCATTACTTTCAGTTATAAATTCAATGTAGTTCACAGTGTTTATGATCCGGATCCGTTAGATCAAAACATTTTGGCTTCCTGGATCTAGATTCACAAAAATATGTGGATCCCCAGATCCAGATCCAAGGGGCAAAATATCAATAAAAGACTGAAGAAAAAAAAACTGAACTATCTTGTCGCTAAATGATTCATCAAGTTTTAGCATAAAAATTGAAAAATTTTCTTTTGTTATTATTAGTATCGTAATAATTCCAACCTGATCATGGTCAGGAGATGAATCCCTCTGGGTTCCGTAAGAATGCTCTTTGCTGACTGTCATTCCTTTAGTCTCTCCTTCATTTCCTTCATTTCCTTCTTTTCTTACTCCTTCCCCTCCTTCTTCTACTTCTCGTAATCTTTTTCCGATTCTTTTCAGTACTCTCCCGTTCCTCCATTTACTATCCCCTCTTCGTAACTCTTCATCATTTCCCGCATTTGGAACTTTTTTCTGAACTCTTCGACTCCCGCGTTTTGAAAGTTCTGGGATTAAAACCGGTTTTGGAACCAGTTTGGTGTTCAGCTGGGTAGCTGTGGCGTATCCGTGGTCACCGCTTCGGGTACAGTGTTTCCTGAAATAAAGAGACTGTTGATGTAGTTTCTAGTGTCCCGTAAGAGTTGCAAACCTGCTGGACTAAAAAAAAATTAGTTAAAGTAATTTTCAATTTGTTGTCGAGTCAGGCATTCCCGCTTAGAATAGACGCTTACAATTGAGCAGAGTGTCCCAAAAAATTCTGGTTTCGACAATTTTTATTTTTGTTCTCAAAATTATCAGACTCAGGAACAGTCAACAGAAGGAAAAGAAAAAAAGCAAGACGGAGGAAAACGATGACAAGAGCAAGAATCAAATCAGAATTTTTCTGTATCAACTGTATCCAATTTTTAAGATTAAAAACTCAAAAATAATAAATTTTTTAAAGAAAATATTATCAATCTCCGTTTTCTATAAAAGTAAGAAAATTAGGAGAAATTATAACTATTACTCGTGCATGTCACTCATTGGAATGTCACTCATTGAAATGTCACATAAATTAGATTTAAGGTGTCAAACCTTTACCAAATTTAAAAATCAACATGTCTCTGACAAAAAACAAAACAAAACAGAATTATGTTCCCAGAATGATTTTTTTATCAGTTTCAAAACAATTAGTGTTTAAAGATTTTCTTAAAAATACTGAAACTGTTTAAATTCAAATTTAAATTTTAGACAACTTAGAGTAAAACCCATAAAACTGTGGAAAAGGAAGATGTATTTTAATCTTACTCAAGTTATGATTTCAAATTGTCCACTGAACATGAAACACTGCATTAGTGCAGCCGTTCAAAGACACAATTAACTAAATAAGTTGGGTTTCAAGCCACTAGTTACATGCACATGTCGTCTTTCAAAGTTCATGGCCCTCACTTGTTTCCCTTCAGTCAGAAACACAGGTAAAAAAAACCTATTTTAAAATTGTGCATGGAACAATTTTAATTCTTACTTAGCTTGGATTCTTTTAGTTTTCTTCTCCGCATACGGGTGATCTCCCTTCCCAACAAATTGACTAGTCTGAACACAAACCAATTAATCAACAAACCAATCAATCAATTAAACAACTAATCAATTAATCAATCATATAATCAATTAATCAACCAACAAATCAATCCATCAATTAACTAATCAATAAATCAACAAACTAATCAACTAATCAAACAACTATTTAATCAATCAATCAATCAACTGATCAATCAACTATTTAATCATTGATCAACTAGTCAATCAACTATTTAATCAATTAATCAACTAATCAATCAAGCAACCAACTAACAAATCAATCAATTAACCAACCAATTAATCAAGCAAATAATCAATTAATCAGCTAACTTATCAATTATTTATCCGACTAATCAATTAATCAACCGACTAATTAATTAATCAACCAATTTATCAGTTATTCAAACAACTAATCAATTTATCAATCAACTTATCCATTAATCAATCAACTAATCAATTAATCAATCAACCAATCAATTAATCAATCAACTAATCAATTAATAAATCAACTAATCAATTAATCAACCATCAAATCATTAATTCAACCAACCTATTAACCAACTAACCAATCAGTTATTCAATCCATCGCCCAAGCAATCTATAAATTAATAGATCAACATATAAATATCTTAATCAATCATTTAATCAATCATTCTATCTATTGCCTAGTAAGTATGTCAGTATATCAATAAATCAATCAATCATTAAGTCGTTCAACCCATCTATCAATCATTCAATCCATCAATCAATCAATCATTCTACCCATCTGTCAATAGAGATATCATTTCATTAATTTGAGATTTTAACAATCATTTGTAGCACCAATTTTTTAAGAGGCGACTAGTTAATTGTTTCATTCCGCCATTTTTTCTATAAAATTCCGCAATTATGTTTAATTGACCAGCACCTGGTGCTGCGCTAGATGCTGACGTAGCTTCCACATAGAGGTCAGAACATCTCCACATCTATTGAAGGTAAGATTTGAATTGTTGCTGGGTCCAGTTTTGTCATCATACGAGATTTTTCAAAATTCAGTAAAAACATCAGTATTGTATTAAAAACAAATATAATCAGTTGTGTTTAAAAATTTTATGTATAGAAAATTTTTTTTTCAATAATTCCAAAATAATATTTATTTCTCAAAATTAGAAGGAAAAGTGAAGTTTTCTACAATTTTAAATCACCTGGGACATCGGTGGTGCTTTCTCAGATGCTTGGTATGTGTCAACTGTTCTACATGCTCACTAAATGCAAAAAATTTGTTTTAAAGGGACTGTCACCGTCATTTCAAGCGACCCCCCATAGGGGCATTCCTGTTGCACAACAAAACTCTTTATAAATCTTTATTTGAAAATCTGTTTAAAACAAATTTTTATAGGCTAAAAAAATCGAATTTTTTTAACCAGATTTTTTTTAAATTTTTTTTGTTCATGGGCAACGCCGGGCCTTTCAGCTATTGTATCATAAATCTATCATTGTATCAATATCAATCATATTAAGACTAGATTACACGGGAGACAGTATTATTTAAAGCATAATAAAACTCTGCGTCAAACATATTGTTCTGAGAGACAGTGCAAGTGTAAACCCAGGTTCATTTCAAGTACCGGGCCAAATTTTGACCATGATTCCCTTCTAGTGAAATTTATATTGTAAGGAAATGTAAATTTGTTATACTTAATTTATAACAACCTGAGGAGTTTGAAGGTTGTAAACTCTTCACTGCAATGCCAACAGAGCAGGGGTAAACCATATCCGGAGGTTTGCACCGTCTCCTCCAGCTGTTCTAAAACAGGGTCCAGACCTTTAGCGCCACCTGAACCTCGGGATTCTGCCACTAGAGCTCCGACTAAACTTCGGGAATCAGCCGCTAGAGCGCCACCTGAACTTCGCGATTCGGCCGCTAGAGCTCCAACTAAAGTTTGAGATTTGGCTGCTTGAGAGCCATCCAAACCTTGGGATTCAGCTGGAGGAACACGTGTCAACGAAACTGAGTTTTGAACAGGGTTCCTTTCATCGACTACATCCTCACCATAGGAAATATTCTGAACTGATTCTGGTTCCAGGAGTTGAGAATCCGGGAGAATAAAAACTTCAGGTGGATTACTTGAAACTGGCGCATTTTCAGATTCATTTTGCGGATTTATTGAGAGAGAACGATTTTCCAAAATTCCTTCCATCTGTTTAGTCTGGTTTAGTTGAATATCTGCAGGAATCGTTAAACTACAGTCAGTGTCCCCAATTTGATAACTTTGTGAACCTCTGCTTGTTCCAGAATTTTCTAGAATTTGTTTTCTACGTCGTGTAACTTGAACCTGAAGCAGGGATTGCTGAGGGTCATCCTGAGAAGAGGTGATGAAGGAGTGCAGCTCAGGAGGGGGGTTGAGAGGTTGTAGGTCTGAATTGGAGTTGAGAGACTGCAGGTCTGGATTAGGGTCGAGAGATTGCAGCTCAGGAGGGGGGTTAAGAGATTGAAGCTCAGAAGGCAAAGAACTGGAAGTTCTTAAACCAGTGATATGAACACTGTTGAGAACAGATATGTTCATGGTTATGTTTAAAGTGTCCAAAAGATGGTTCAACCTTAAGTAATATCAAGAATTAGTTCTAAAACTTTGGTCGTTTCTAAAAAAAATCATATTTCCTCCTTAAAACCATATAACCTCCAAAAAAACATATTTCCTCAAAAAAAAAATATTTCCTCAATAAAATCCTATTTCCTCAATAAAATTATATTTCTACAAAAAATCATACTTCCTCCTTAAAATCATACTTCCTCCTTAAAATCATATTTCCTCCTTAAAATCATATTTCCTCCTTAAAATCATATTTCTTCTGAAAATCATATTTCCTACAAAAAATCATATTTCCCCTATAAACTCATATTTGCTCAATAAAATCAATATCCTCAATAAAATCAATATCCTTGATAAAATGATATTTCATTGAAATAAAAACATATTTTCTCCATTTAATCATGTTTCCTCCATTAAATCTTATTTCCTTAAACAATAATGTCTCCTCAAAAAATCAAATTTCCCCTTAAAAATCATTTCTTCCTCAAAAAAAACCCAAATATATTTTCTCTCAAAAATCATATTTCCTTAAAAAATTCATATTTTCTTTAAAAAATCATATTTCCTCTAAAAATGATATTTCCTCCATAAAATAATATTCAGTTTACACAGACTTTTCTAACATTGTAAACGATGAGAGGGAAGAGTGGTAATTTTAAAGTAAATAAATATCCCTGAAAAATATCTCTACGAAATGAAAAAAAGCTCTTTTTTGTATGATTCTCGATTTCCTGGAGATCTCATCGCCGGAGAGAAGAACTGCTGAACCATAGAGGAGTTGACACATAGCAGTTAGGGTCAGGGAGTCAGCTTCAGGTAATAGGATAGTTTGCTAGATAGATAAATATATTAATTAAAAGCTAGATTGATAGGTATATATAAAGGAATAAATAGTAAAATAGAGAAATGAAGGATATCAAATTAAGAATATAGAATGAAGATGGATATAGAAAGGTAGATAGATAAACAGAGAGGTAGATAGATAAATAGATACAGATAATTAGATAGCATAGAAAGTCTGTTAGATATACAGATACCTGTAGTTGTGGTGTTGATATGGTGCTAAGGATACTGGATAATAAAGGGCTTGCAGTGCAGAGAAGAATACTGTGAATACTAGAATATAGGATACTGTTACTAGAATATACTAGAATATAGTATACTGTTACTAGAATATACTAGAATATAGGATACGGTAACTAGAATATACTAGAAAGTTAAATTAGTTTTGTTAACCATACGCTCTGAATAACTTTATGGTCAAACTAGTCTTGTTAACCATTCACTCTGAATAACTTTATGGTCAAATTAGTCTTGTTAACCATTCACTCTGAATAATTTAACAGTCATATTAGTCTTGTTAACCATACGCTCTGAGTAACTTTATGGTCAAATTAGTCTTGTTAACCATGCAACCTGAATAAATTTATGGTCAAATTAGTCTTGTTGACCATACACTTTCAATAACTTGTCGGTCAAATTAGTTTTGTTAACCATACGCTCTGATAAACTTAACAGTAAAAATAGTCTTTGTTAATCAGACGCTCTGAATGATTTGACGGTCAAATTATATAGTCATATCAACCAGTAGCTAAAAAGCTGAAATTAGAATAATAGAAATTAGGAATATGTAAGTTACCTAACAGGGTCTCCAGATTTAGGAAAAAGAACAACATCAGTATGAAAATGGTCTCCCAGGTCCTAATGTGGAAAAAAAATAATTTTACCAAAAGAATTCAACATTGCTTGAATCAAACTATTGGTTGGTTGTTTCCAGGCGTAAAGAACTGCACAAGCTTTATATCTTACAAAGAATCAAAGAGTATTAAAACTAAAACTATTTTGGTTCAGACTGCAGTAGATATACTTAGAGACTTATAAACATCGTAAACTAAGTTCTCTTCAACCTGAACCGGTGCACAAGAGAAGTGGTTGAACTACATGTTCTTACTATTTAATAAATTTGGTCCTTGTTCACGCATACTTGGGTAGCTTTAAGATCAACCCTCATTGATTGATTGACTGAAAGATATCTGGTAGAGCTAGGATATTTACCTGAAATCCATATTCCATTATATCCGTCAGGTTGCTGGGTCGAACAAAATTCATTAGTAGCTTGTCTGAGCATAGAGAACCTTAACACAGTCAATCAATCAATCAATCAATCAACCAACCAATCAATCAATCAATCAGCTAATCAGTCAATCAGTCAATTAGTCAATCAATCAATAAACCAACCAACCAACCAATTAATCAAAAAAGTATTTTGCAGTTTTTTTATTAACGTAAGTATCTACCAGCCGGATTAATGTAGAGGTATGCATAATTTAAGGGAAAAATAAAAAAATAAGTAAAAGGTATTGGAATAAGGAGAGNAAAATAGCGCATGTTATTGAATTCTTAAAAACTAGTTTATATTGGAGTATTCAACTTTATGAATACCTAGCCGGGATGGAAGGCTAAATGAAGGATGAACTGCCATTTTGAAAAATTGTGAGCTGGTCTTCAGTCTTATTTCTCAAATGCCCGAAAGTCTAAATCATGTTGATTGTGCCACCATTTTGAATAAGGTGGATTTTGGCGCCATTTTGAACCACGTGGTTTGTGCCACCATTTTAAATTAGGCAAACTTTGGTGCCATTTTTAAACAAGAGCACTGCCATTTTATCACTTAGGTTAACCGCCATCTTAAATCTGCAAATACATGAGCTGAAATCAATGATATTGTGATCCTATTTCTAGGGATACGAGATTGAACGATGGGTTTAATTAAGTTTAATGACAGAAGATCGACAACTAAGCATTAAAGTTAAATAAACACAGAACTACAACAGACTAGTCTTCTATTCAACATCTGAAGCAAAGATACATTGAAGTTTTTTATCATTCGTTAAATTCTGAATCTAAATCAGAAACAGGTTTGTTATAAATCATTTTTATTCCAGAACACTACAATAAGAATTTTTAATGAAAAAAATATTACATATTTGAAATAAATGTTTTCAATGCACTCTTCCCCTTAGAACAATGAGTTTCCCAGCTTAAACGTTGGTTTGTATTCAGGGCCACCCCAGGAAGGAGCAGATCCGGCCTGAGATTATTATTTTTTTTTATGAATTTTTAATGTATATTTTTTCCTAAAAACATCCTCCATAAGGAACGTAACATTTTTTCTCCACTAAGTAGGGAAATCATCAACAAGAGCTTTAAAATTGTTCCATTAAAATTTTTCCAGTCAAGCAACAAAAATCAGCTTTATTATTTTAACATTGATATTTCAATTTGTTTCTGGGTTTCATATTTTCCCGGAAAAGGGAAACTTACTTAAAAACCATTAGTTCTCCATTCTGCGTAAAACTGTTTAAATTTACTAAATAAAGCATATAGATTAAAATGGTTCTGAAAAGTCGATAAAAAAAAATAGATAAGGTCCCAAAAAGTCAAAAAAAGAAAAAAAGAAAAGGTCCCAAAAATCCAAAAATAAAATAGAAAAGGTCCAAAAAAGTGACTATATAAAAGAAGAGGTCCCAAAAATAAACGAGAAGGTCACAAATAAAAAGACATCGTATTGACCGATGATATTCTAAACTATATGATTATCAGCTACTTTTCGCTGCACTCTCCAAAAATGTTACGAAATAATTATGTGCAATAAGCCTTTAGCAAACAAACAAACTTTACGCCTTTAAAAATTGACCAACAATTGACTTTTCATCTGAATCCAATATCAAATATTTAATCTCAAAAGTAATAAATTTATTAAAACGATCAATCAATCAGTTACTCATTTATGCAATCGATTGTTCAATCAATCAAAATCAATTTAAAAATTTAAAAATTTAACAACCAACTTGATAAGTTGATCATTTTCAATTGAATTAAAATAGCCTGGTTAAAAGAGAATGTAGTCATGATTTCATGCGAACTTCCATTTAGAATGGTATGTTAGATTCACAATGGTACTCTCAATCCTTATTTCTGATCAACAATGAGGAATATATGAAAAACAGTTAAATTCTGACAATTCCTTCTATGTCTCTGCTGCATAAATCCGCAAGTCACGATTAAATACGCTACTCAATAAATGGAGGTTCACTTGAAATCACTTCTACAATCTCTTTAAGAAAATATTTGACACTTACACGAGGGCCCACTGTTTGTATGTAAGATGAGCGAAACTCATTTTTCCTCTGAAATATTTTCTCTTTTTATTTAATGCTAGCTGAAGTGCCCGGCGTTACCCGTGGAATTTTAAAAATCAAAATTTTAAAAAATATCAATTTTTTTAAGAAAAAAAATCGAATTTTTGAAGAAACCCCAGGGGGAACTCAAGGTTTCCATCGAAAACTTTCAGCACATTCGGTCCAGCCATTTGGCCAGCTATAGGGAACCTATATACGAATGTCTTGTTTTATTATATAGATAAATAAACCATCATTTATAAGACTGTCCAGATTATTTCGTTTCCGATCTTTAATTAAAAAAAAACCATACACGGTGTATTCTATTTTGGAAAACGATTTTTAAATTTTCTACTCCATGTTGGACTAAAAGTCTACAATTTGAAATTACCCAGGCTTTTAGCCTTAAATACACAGTTAAAATCTTGAACATAAGAGTAGGTGAATATAGATAAATATAATTTATATATATGTATGATATATATAGTTGTCTAGTAGTTGATGTTCATAGTGTAGAAGCCTGACTTTTAGTTATAAGAAAATATGATTTTGTCCTACATGTTAAAATTAGAATTGAGTTTGCATAAATGCGCAAACAGTTTTGACCTACTGACCTCCTGATACCGCCTGTATACTAAAAACCTACTTGCCTCCTAATACAGTCGGAGGACTGGGGACCTACTGACCTCCTGATACAACCTGTACAGTTACACTAATGACCTGCTGACCTCCTGATACAGCCTTGGGACTGGGGACCTACTGACGTCCTGGAACAACCTGTATACTAAGGACCTACTGCCCTCCTGGTACAGCCTGTAAAGTGTATACTAAGGACCTACTGACCTCCTGGTACAGCCTGTATACTAAAGACCTACTGACCTCCTGATACAGCCTGGGGACTGGGGACCAGATTGACAGCATGAAAAGGTGTAACAGCAGCCAGTATTCTCCTCTTTACGCTTACAGCAGGAATATTGAACCTAGTGTTTAAACCAGAACATTTTTTTACAATTATTTTTTATCAAATATCAATCCAAAATTGTACAAAATTGTCTTAATGGAATTGCAGTTTTCCATTTTATAACTTTTTCCCACTTGTACCACTCCTACCCAAACCTGGCATGAAAACCCTGTAGAAAAATCTTTCCATTTTATAATTAACATTGTGAACACAAACCCGACTGAAAGTTTTCCCCTCAGTTACAATTATGAAAAGCTTTGGATCATTTTAAGAGTATTCTGAATCCATACTGGTATAATTATCATGTTATTAAAAAGGCAACCTGTCATTAAATGGATTCTTTTCTTTTAATCCTTACCTTTACAAGTCAACATATAACTCTGAATGATGTATAAGAAAATGGTTGGGCAAAAAGAGTTGGGAACTTAAGAAGTTTTGGAAGAGGGGGAGAGAGGTCTATGCAAAAATGTAACAATAGTTTTAAACTAGTAGTAAATCATTAAATATATGCAGCGCTACATAGTTTCAGTAAAGGGGGAATCCTAGTGCATAAAAAATGTTTAAAGTCCCTGACAACCCGTTGAAAATTTCTCCGCCCCACAACAGCTGAATATCTCTTTATATGGTGAATCTAAATATCCACAGGCATACCAAGATAACCCTGCCAGACCTGCAGTAGCTAGACCTAAACATTGAATTTAAAAATACAATCAAATTCACAGAGCTTATTTAAAAAAATAATTTTAGATAATTGTTCCTGTGAAGTGGATTCAGAATTGCAAAGTTTTAACAATTTGTGATGTTGGTGTTTTGATTATAGGCAAATTGTAAGGTTGGGCGATTTGTTTTCGGGTGTTGTGTGTAATTTTGGGAGTTTTATTTTTGCACTTTTATTTATTGAACATTTTGTTTTTGGCATTTTGTATCCATTTCATACCTGTAGTTATATCTAATGCCCCTATAATTGGAGACACTGCTCCCAATGTATTCCGTACTGTCTCACATTGCTGAAATCAATAGGGAATGTCAACATACTTTAAAGTAACTTTTTATTAAGTATCATTTTTTGACATTTAACTTAGATAAAATTGATCATGCAAGAATTGAGTTAGCTATCTATCTATCTATTTATCTATCATGACTCCCCAATAACACAAGTGTTACCAGGTAGACACTCCTCCCAGCAACCCAGTGCCCCCTTAAAAGGTTGGAGAAACCATTTGCAACTGATAATCATAAACAAGATTTTCTTTGGTGGAGTGGACAAGCGCTGACTATGCTGAGTAGACAGATACAAAGTTTTCATCAGTTGGGAATAATTGTTCTTGCATAATAAAAAAATAAAATTGTATCATTTGAAACAACTGTGTTTAATTTATTAACAAAAACAACTTCTTTAAATATTCATAAAAACGTTCTTTCAGTCCAATGAAAATTCTCCTCAGTATTGAACTTCCCCCTCCTCCATCCCAACCTCAAAACTGTTCATCATAGGTAAATAGGTATGAGAAAATGTAAAACAAAACCCTTAAGTGCCATTTAACATTTTTTTAAATCCCCAATACAGTATGGGCTAAGGCTATATTTTTGATTATTTTCTATCTTAAGAAGTAAATTTAACAAATTTCAACCAAACTTGCGCAATATTTACGTTGAAATTACGTATCATTTACGTTGAAATTACATAATATTTATGTAGAAATTACACATTATTTACGTTGAAATTACATAATATTTACGTTGAAATTACATAATATTTACGTTGATATTACGTATTATTTACTTTTAAATTACGTATTATTTATGATGAAATTACATAATATCTATTTTGAAATTACATAATATTTACGTTGAAATTACGTAATATGGTGAATAGGGTAACCTTGAGTAGAAGTAGTACTGGTATTTATGTACCTTGTTAGGTCCCCCAGTGAGCTTGAGTATACCAGGATGAATTGCTTCAAGGGAAAGAGGATGATATCCAGACAATTCTTCAGGATGATAGTTCCTGACAAGAGAAAAAACCTTTAAGATCAAGAATCAAGGATTAAGGATTTAAGATCAATAATACATCATGGATCTAAAATTTTAGATCAAGGATCAAGGATTTAGGAATCAAAATAAAGAATGAAGATCACAAATCAAGATTTGATGAATTAAGATCAAAAATGAAGATCAAGATCAAGGATCAGGATTTTAGATCTAGAATGAAGATCACATATGAAGCATTGACGAATTAAGATCAAGAATAAAGATCAAGATCAAGGATCTAGGATTTAAGAAAGGAAAATCAAAAGATTTGAGGTTTTTTGTTCCTTTCCTTAGTTTTCCTTTATGTACAAAAGTTTGCTCAAGATGACAGAAATCAGGAAGTAGTCGCTTATCCCCTGAAGTAAAGAACACAGTACAATAAATTAAGTACAACTCTCAGTGCAGTACAATACAACTTTACAGAACAGTAAAGCAAAATAAAACACCACAAACTTCAGTAAAATACAACTTTGCAGTGCAGTACAGTACAATATTGCAGTACAGTAAAGAACAAAAAATTCACTTCAGACTGAATAAAGTACAATATAGTTTATTTTGCAATAAAACTTGACATGGCAGTATACCTTTAAAAATCAACTTTAAAGTACAATCAATCAGACTTTAAAGGGACACATCGCAATCCTATCACAACTATACAATACATTACAATACATTACAATACAACACTACAGTATAATACGGTAAAGTACAGTGAAATGCAATATTACAACATCAAAATATATTTCAATTCAACATGGCAGTCAAGGGTGTAATATAACAAAACTACATACAAAGCCAGGGGTAAAAGTATTTTTTCCTCACAATCTACCAGAGTTATAATTTTTACCCACTATAGTAAAAATGTCTATTTTTTGCCGAATTGTTGAAGAAATTAAATGAATTTTCAGATTACAAATAGAAAAAATTGCCATACAGTCATCTTTCTCCTAAGATATTTGGAAATAAACATTCCTGATATACAGGGGAGTTTTATATACATTTTAAAGCTATTTTATCTAAAACTTTACCTATCTATCTGTTCCACCAATTCAGAATCCGTCACTAAAAGTCTTTCCTTTCTTTCCTACTCCAAACCAAATATATAATCAGAAAGATACATTTAGAGAAAATGAGGGAAACAATATTTATAAATCCGCAAACCGCAGTAATTCAAAGCTCTTAACAGGTTATACCTCCGGAAATTAAACTTTGCCAATCATTTCATAAATTGTACGAAATGTTTGAAAATAATTTTTAACAAAAATTCTGATAAGTGATTACTATTCCTGGGGAGATAAATTTGTGAGTTTAGCCAGCGTTTCTGCTGGTATCTTCTCGTCTTGAAAAAATTTAAGTTATTGAACAATTATTTAACTTATTATTTAATTATTTAAGAATTATTTAACTTATTATTGAATTATTTAACAATTATTGGAAAATCATTTTTTAGAAGGAATTGACGGGAACTTTGAAAACTGAAAAGACAACAGTCAGGAAAAGGAGCACAAGGGAAAGAGGAAAAAGAGATGGGTTTCAAGAAATACATGAAGATTGAGAAATATGAAAGGGACAGAGGTCGAAGGGGTGAAGAAATAAGAAAGGAATTAGAGAGGTGAGAAAGAGTGAGGGGGGAGGGGACACTGACAGAGGGAGGGGGACTCTGACAGAGGGGGGGGACAATGACAACANGGGGAAAGAACATTAACAGAGGGGTGAAGGCTCTACCTAAATATGTGAACCCAAGAACCTGGAGATTACTGAGTTCACCGGCGTAGTACTTAGCTGCCTCTACGGCACCTTGGCTTCCCTAGATCAATCAATCACTCAATCATTCAATCAATCAATCAATCAATCACTCAATCATGTATTATTTCCTAGATAGCGTTTTGCTTTATCTTCAACACTTAAAAACATGAAAAAATGTCGTGAAAATCAGCTGATTTAAAAAAAAATGAAATTTTGGACGGTTTTGAAAACAATACAAAAAAACATACAAACCTAAAAATTATTGAGAGAAAGAAGATTTTTTTTTCAACTGTAAGAAAGGGCGCGGAGCGGCACAGATTTTACCTGTTGTAGATTATAACTGCCAGGCTGTTTCACAACAATTATCACATTATTCCAGATATCCATATCTTTAAAGAGAGTGTTCGCGGAAAATTATCATTCCAAATTAAAAACCTTAAATTACAGAAACATCAAATAGAAAAAAGTACCAATCGATCATAAATCAGATTTGATTTTAATTCATCTAAGAAAATTTATTTAAAATGTTTGCTAACAGTCCCTTTAAATTGATTTATAAAATCAGACTGATGTCGTAGTCGGGCATCCTTCCTCTCCTTACATAGTTCAGCGCTCAATCAATCAATTATTTAGCCAATCCATCAATCAATCAATCAATAGGCTGAATAATTAATTTATCAATCAATCAATGATGAATTAAACATTTTCTCATTTAATCAATGAACTATTCGATCCACCAACTAATCACTTGATCAAACAATCAAATAAATAAAGTTAGAAAAGCGATATTTTTAATGATGGAACATGTACCCGAGATATTTATCAATAAACAGGCCAATCAAACCAATCAATTAATCAATCGATTAGTTACTCAATTACTCAACTAAACCATTAATTAATTAATTTTTCATGACTGTACATTTGTTGAACTATGCCTGAGAGCTAACAGTCCAGATTATAGCTTTCACTTTCAACAATCCTGAATATAAAAAAATAAACCCATCAGTAAAATAATTTTATGATAAAAAATTTTCTTTCTTATTTAATGAATTTTTTACCATATGTACCGTGTCACTGTCAACCATGTGAACCGTGTTAACCGTGACAACCGTGTGGAGTTGTGGACTTTGTGTTTTGTGTGTACAGTGTGTACAGTGTGTACTGTGAGTACTGTTTGTACTATGTGTACTGTATGCACTCTGATTAATGTGATTAATGTGTGTATCTCTTTATATTCTGTGTACTGTATGCACTGTGTATACTGCGTGTATTGCATGTACAATGTGTACTCTTTATGTTCTGTTTACTGTGTGTATTGTGTGTACTGTGTATACTGTTTGTACTGTGTATTGCCTGTACTATGTGGCCTCTGTATACTCAGTGTACTATGCATATTCTGTGTGTACTGTGTATTGTCTGTACTATGTGTACTCTGTATACTCAGTGTACTCTGTTTATTCTGTGTACTGTTTGACCTCTAACCCTGGGATTGCATGAAGGTGAGAAGCTCCTGGAAGGATTCAGAATCTGAACGTTGAAATGAATCATCATATCCTGCAGTACAATGTTTGTTTACTTTTCTGCAGTACATTAATTGTTTAATATACTGCAGTAAAATATTTGTTCACTTTTCTGCAGTACAGTATATGTTAATCATTCTTAAAAGTGTTTTTTCAATTTCTTTTAGTGTCCTAAGTTCATTAAAATTCAATGATGGAGAAAAAACTTTGTTAGATGTTGGAACCCAGATTACATTTTTGTTTACAAAGTGCCTTGTGACGTGACACCGTGTACTGCAGATGATTGTAAACAGAAACATAACAAAACATTCCTATGGTGTCAATCCAAACAGGAAATTTGGAACCTCTGAAAAAATATTTTTTTAATATTTCNACAAATCGATACATAGCGGCTTTTCTAGAAAACTTCGCAATTGGTATGTACAATTGCTTATGAATCGATATTTTTTATTTTTTTTTTTTCACAAAATTAAGTTTTTTGTATTTTTTTCAAAAAAAGCCACATTTTTATCCTGTGATTTGGTAAAATAAGCCTCAGTCGGCGATATTCAACTAGGAATGCTAGGGGCGCTACAGAAGTTCTTGAGAATGATGAATGATAAGAGTAATAATAATGATACCTTGAGTCTGGTACTGCCTGAACTTGTCTTGTTGCAGAATTAGGTTTATCACTGACTTTAACACTCTGTCCTGTCAGCGGAGAGTTCTTCATATTAAAGGGGTACAAATTTAGTTGAAAATTACCTGACCCCCTCGCTTTATATATATCCTTTTTTTCTATACGTTAAAAATATTTGTATCATTTTTTCAGTTTTTCAAGAAGTATAAAAATAACCAGACTTTGAAGTAAGAAGTGTATAAAAATAACCAGACTTAGAAGTAAGAAGTATAAAAATAACCAGACTTTGAAGAAAGAAGTGTATAAAAATAACCAAACTTTGAAGTAAGAAGTTGAAGTGTATAAAAATAACCAGACTTAGAAGTAAGAAGTATAAAAATAACTAGACTTTGAAGTAAAAATATAAAAATAACCAGACTTTGAAGTAAAAAGTATAAAAATAACCAGACTTTGAAGTAAAAAGTATAAAAATAACCAGACTTTGAAGTAAGAAGTGTATAAAAAAAACCAGACTTAGAAGTAAGAAGTATAAAAATAACCAGACTTTGAAGTAAGAAGTGTATAAAAATAACCAGACTTTGAAGTGAGAAGTTGAAGTGTATAAAAATAACCAGACTTAAAAGTAAGAAGTATAAAAATAACTAGACTTTGAAGTAATAAGATTATAAAAATAACCAGACTTTGAAGTAAAAAGTATAAAAATAACCAGACTTTGAAGTAAAAAAGTATAAAAATAACCAGACTTTGAAGTAAAAAGTATAAAAATAACCAGACTTTGAAGTAAGAAGTGTATAAAATAACCAGACTTTGAAGTAAGAAGTATAAAAATAACCAGACCTTGAAGTAAGAAGTATAAATAACCAGACTTTGAAGTAAAAAGTATAAAAATAACCAGACCTTGAAGTAAGAAGTATAAAAATAACCAGACTTTGAAGTAAGAAGTATAAAAATAACCAGACCTTGAAGTAAGAAGTATAAAAATAACCAGACCTTGAAGTAAGAAGTAGAAAAATAACCAGACTTTGAAGTAAGAATTTGAAGTAAGAAGTATAAAAATAACCAGACCTTGAAGTAAGAAGTATAAAAATAACCAGACTTTGAAGTAAGAAGTGTAATAAAATAACCAGAATTTGAAGTAAGAAGTATAAAAATAACCAGACTAGAATTTGAAGTAAGAAAAGGGGGAATTTACAAGTTTAATCATCTTTTCATTATTTTCTCAGTCAAATATCTCAAAAAGAAACAGAAAAGAGTTTTGAAGTTTTCAAAAAAAAAATACATCTTCTTGTGAAAAGCCTCTATCCTGTATACTTGGAAATTGTTGAGGACTTCCCAGTCCCTAAAAATCATTTAAATTGGTTAAAGGGACCGTCCTTGTAATTTCAAGTGAGCCTCCATTTACTCCGATTCACTCTTTACACCTCTGTCTGAATTAAGGTAGCCATGTTTTTTATTATTTTGAAAACTAATTAATTTAAATTTTCACCTCTAGAAAATGACAAATNCAAGTGAACCTCCATTTACTCCGATTCACTCTTTACACCTCTGTCTGAATTAAGGTAGCCATGTTTTTTATTATTTTGAAAACTAATTAATTTAAATTTTCACTCTAGAAAATGACAAATACCACATATTCTAATAAATCAGATAAAAGTTTAAAGGGTACCTTTGCGAATCAGGCATGCCCCTCCTTCAATGAAGGTTCACTTGAAAAAACTTTAAATAAAATACAATTTGAAAATTGAAAAGAATAAAATTAGAATTTGAATTAGAAGCGACTAAGAGACGAATTTTCGAAAAAAATTTTATTGGTCGGACTAAAAAGAGATATCCTTGTCGGATTCCAAATTATGCGGATTATTGCTTTCTGAAGGATTAACAAGAGTTTTCTGGNTAACGATAGGATTATTGCTTTCTGAAGGATCAACAAGCGGATTAGTGCTTTCTGGAGGATTAACATGCGGATTAGTGCTTTCTAGAGGGATTAACAATCGTATTAATGCTTTCTGAAGGATTAACAATCGGACTAGTGCTCTCTGAAGGGATTAACCAGGGGATTCGTGCTTTCTGAAGGAATAAAAAAGCGGATCAGTGCTTTTCGGAGGGATTAACAAGCGGATTAGTGCTTTCTGAAGGGATTAACGATAGGATTATTGCTTTCTGAAGGATCAACAAGCGGATTAGTGCTTTCTGGAGGATTAACATGCGGATTAGTGCTTTCTAGAGGGATTAACAATCGTATTAATGCTTTCTGAAGGATTAACAATCGGACTAGTGCTTTCTAAAGGGATTATCATTCGGATTGGTGCTTTCTAAAGATTAACGAGTGGATTAGTGCTTTCTGAAGGGATATACAATCGAATTAGTGCTTTCTGAAGGGATTAACGAGTGGATTAGTGCTTTCTGAAGGGATAAACGAGTGGACTAGTGCTTTCTGAAGACATTAACAAGCGGATTAGTGATTTCTGAAGGGATTAACAAGCGGATTAGTGCTCTGAGGGGATTAACAAGCGGATTAGTGCTCTCTAAAGGGATTAACAAGAAAACTAGTGCTTTCTGAAGGGATTAACAAGCAGATTAGTGCTTTCTGAAGGATTAACAAGCGGATTAGTGCTTTCAGAAGCATTAACAAGCGGATTTGTGCTTTCTGAAGGATTAACAAGCGTACGGTTTAAGGGGTACCGTTGTAAATCGAGCATTGTCATCTTGGCATGGTGGCTTACTTAAAATTACGCTTACCGTGTCAAACTTTAATGAATTTAAGCCGCGTCTCAAATCCCCCGAAAACCGGTTTCAATTGAGCGCCGGCTTAAATCTTGAAAAATTGAATATAGTTTTAAGTGGAACCAATCATATTTGAGCCGCGGCTCAAATCCCTTAAATTCGGCTTCAGTTCATTTATGGAATCATCCTGTAAAGGCCTGCAAAATACTTTCTCAAAAGCGTTATATTTTTGTCCCAATTTCAGTAGCGGGTTTTCTTTCAAGTTGACTGGCGCAATGCACATTTCTAACTCCGAAACAAAAGATAAAATTGTCAGAATCATCCCCTTTTCTATTTCAAGTAAGAACACTTACAATATGTTCCACTTTTTTCAGATAAAGTTACCGCGCGTTGGGAATTGGATACGTCACTCTTTTTTTAATGTGAAAGTACAACTTACTGATAATAGTTTCCTCAAGTTGAACATTTAGTTTTCTCTCCTCTGCTTGTAGAGAAAACCTAAAATACAAAGTTAAGATTTTTTTCCGGTAAAAGTTTTTAAATTTTATAAATTTTTTAATAATCATTATTTTGAAATGTTTGACTAATGATGTTAAGCGACAACCACAAGTTGAATGAATTGCGGATTTCTACAGTTTTTAAACCCCCTTTCATTTTTCGCGAACACTCCTTTTAAAGATTACTTTTAGTTTGAAATATATTGAAGAAAAAAATCACTTGACATTTAACGCATTCTATGTGTTTAATGTAAAGCATACACCTTTTACACCGGACATCCTACTTTCTAACAGATAGTCATCATTTTTAAATAAGACTTAGATTAGAAATATATAAAAATCCCATTATATAATTTTGAAATAGATGAACAATCCCTTTATATAATTTGGNATAATTTAGGAATAGATGAACAGTCCCTTTAAATAATTTAGGAATAGTTGAACAGTCCCTTTATATATTTTAGAAATAGATGAACAATCCCTTTAAATAATTTAGAAATAGATGAACAGTCCCTTTAAATAATGTTCACCTGTATCGCAGAAATGTTACTGAGCTGAGCCCGACTATTCCCAATTTTAATATTTTCAAACGCATTCTTCTAGAAGTAAATATCAATACAAAAATCAAAATTTAAAAAAAAAGGCAACTTTGTTTATCACATATCAATCGAGGGAAAACATCTTCTAAAAGTTCCTCCTTCATCGCTGGGGGGAAAATCGGAATTCAATTATCAAATTTTTTTTTTTGATTTTCTTCCTCCCAATACTGCCTTAAATAATGAGGGTTCATAACTTGTAAGAGGGTTTTTAGATATTACAAGAACACAGTTTCGAAAAATCTAATCAAATGCGTGTCAAAGTTTCAAAAATTGATTACTATCTAAATACATATAAAAATTGTGTAAGTGTAATTTTTGCACAATTTAAACCATAAAGTATGAAGTATCACAAATTAAAATGATAAAGAATAAAAATAAGATTATTTATATGGGTCAAAGCGTTCTGAATTTTAGTTTAATCAAATACAGTAATGATCATAAATGACTAAATCAATTTGTCTTGGATAAATGTCATGAAGTAGAAAAGGAGAATATGAACAACAACGCAGAAAATTCTGTATTCTTGATATCATTTTCCCATTTACTCCTGAATCAACTTTTTGTTTATCATGTTAATAACCAACAGTGATTTTGCTGTTAAATAATAGCCGTTGACGGTTTTGCTGCGCATGGTTGGTTGTTCTTGTTGTTTGTTGTTGTTGTTGTTCTTGTTGTTTGTTGTTGCTGGTGCTTGTTGTTGCTGGTGTTTGTTGTTGTTTCTGTTGTTTGTTGTTGTTGTGTTTGTTGCTGGTGTTTGTTATTGTTTGTTGTTATTAGCCGACATATTTATTCCAACAAGGAGTCTAATCCAACAACCTGAATCAAATATTATTAATATTAATATTTGAAGTTCATTTTACAAAAAAAAGTTAATACCAGCTAATCAAATCAGATCAAATCGAATCGAATTGAATTGAACTGAATTGAATCAAATCAAATCGAATCAAATCAAATCAAATCAAATCGAACCAAACCAAACCAAGCCAAATCAAACCAAACTAAACCAACCAAACCAAACCAAACCAAACCAACTCAACTCAACACTCAACTCAACTCAAATCAAAACAAATCAAACCAAACCAAACCAAACCAAACCAAAACAAATCAAATCAAATCAAATCAGTCTTTTAGGAACATCCTGTCCATGACTTTACATAGTCAGGACTGAAATAATCTGGAAACTGGAATTATTAATCGTCTAATCAGGATATTTGAAACCTGGTTTGACCAGCCACTCATATAATCACATGGGACAGGGATAACATTAAACTCCTGGTATATTGATCGTTAACCCCTTAAAATTATTTTGTGATAAAAAGCTGTTTAAAGCCTGACATATTTCTAAAATACTCGGGAAACTGAAGCTGAAATGATATATTTAATTTTGAGTGAGTGAGTGAGTGAGTGAGTGAGTGAGTGCGTGAGTGAGTGAGTGAGTGAGTGAGTGAGTGAGTGAGTGAGTGAGTGAGTGAGTGAGTGAGTGATCTACCTGTTTATCACAGTCTCCCAGCAGAATTAGATCTAAAATATTTCTTTCAAAAATCCAAAATCAAATTACAAAATTCTTTAATTAATTAATTTTAAATGAAATATTTTTAATGTGATAAAAAGAAATATTCCTGAAGGACGGGAAAATTCAATGTTGGCTCCCATTCTCATCATCCAAGCTAACATACTAGATAGATAGATAGATATATACACAGGGTTACCCAAATAGATTATCAAGTACAATAGGTGGCAACAGAGAAATGAACCAATTATACACAACGTCACAAGTGTCAAATATAACAAGAAAAACGAAATTGTCTCACATTAGTTGACATGTTTTCCAAGATTAAATAAAAAAATGTAAAAACAGAAACTAAAGAACACATAAGATTGCACTTATTTTACTGTAAGAAAAGCACTTTATTCTTAAATTATCAATATTATTGATAATTTTGTCGGACACAAAAACTGAATTGACACTTGTGACGACAGAATACAACTGTACTGTGAGAGTGTACAAATTCTACGTTGTCATCTATTACTAGAATCTATACAGGGTTACCTACAAAGTATGAGACTTGAATGACGACCTCAACCTCTGAGAATAAAACAATCTAAAGGCTGAGAACTGGATTATATCAATTTTAAGGAATGAAGTTAAAAAAAGAAAAAAAGTTAACAGTTTCAAGTAGTGCTTAGGATCAGGATCCGTTGGCTCCGCAAAATTTTGGCTTTCAGGATCCGGATCCGCAAAAATATGCGGATCCACGGATCCGGATCCAAGGGGCAAAAAATCAACCAAAAACTGCAAAATAACAAATTTTTACCCTGAGAATAAAAAAAATTTCCTGATTTTTGAATGCTTCATAAAATTTTAGTTTAAAAATCAGCAAAAAAAAGACAAAAATTTGAAAATTCTGCTTTGTTAAAAAAATAAATAGCCTGGATCCGGATCCGCATCAAAATTAAATAGATCCTAAGCACTAGTTTCAGGGAACAACGCATGTAAAAAATAAAGAATTAATAAATTTCGTACAGTCGTCTCTGAAGTCTCATCCTTTGTGCTTAACAAGTCTGATAATCAATTTATCAATCCATATTTATATAATATATATAGAACTTGGATAGAAATCATGATTGGATAAATAGATAGATATAATAGAAATTATGAAAAGATAGATAGGATAGAAATCATGGACAGATGGATAGATAAAAAGGTTAGAAATTATGTACAGATAGATGTAAGATAGAAATTTTAACAGATAGATAGATAGATAGATAGATAGATAGATAGATAGATAGATAGATAGATAGATAGATAAATAAAATGGTCAACCATCATCCCGTAGGAGTCAGGGTTAAGATATAGATAGATAGATAGATAGATAGAAATAGATAGATCGATATAAAAAGATAGATAGAGAGTCAGATAGATAGAAATAGATAGATTTAGATAGATGGATAAAGATCGATAGATATAGATAGATATAAATAGATAGATAGATATAGATACATAGATATAGATAGATAGATAGATACAGAAAGATATATATAGAAAGATAGATATAGAAAGATATAGATAGATAGATATATAGATAGACAAGCAGACAGATACACAAAGATTATCAAATCAAATCAATTGTAAATCTGAAAGGGAATCCAACATGGAACCCCAGATAGCGGCCTCCTGGAGTCCAAGATCTGATAGATATTGAGTTAGTTGGATATTAAACAAAACTCTGATATGACAGTAAAACCTGTAGAAATAAACCCACCTAGTCGCTGCTCCTGGTTTAGTCTTGTTGATGTAAACTCTGCATTCAATTATATCTATATAATAAAAACAAGACATTCGTATACATGTTCCCTGTAGCTGGCCAAACGGCTGGAACGAATGATCTAACATTTCTTGAAGAAACCCTTGAGTACCCCGGGGAGGACATAGGCTAAAAAAAATTATTACTCCTAAACTCAATAACTTTTTTTTTTCAAAATTCGATTTTTAAAAATTCCATGGACAACACCGGACGCTTCAGCTAGTATCTAATCAATAAAAAGCTGTATCTGAATACTTAACTTTCTCTTTAGAGGTCAACCCGCTCAACTTAGGGAATTAAATTGTTTGGTTTTTAACTGACAAACTTGTTATACAATATTGTCTTAAAATTACTTGTATCTTTATCGCTATTTCCTCTAGATTTTAGGAAATGCGCTATTTACAAAAATCCTCGATTTAATCGTACACACTAAACCCCAGAGTATCGGCTATGAAAAAAACCCGGTATTCTGGGAACCCAGCGTTGCCTGCAAACATAAATTTACCTCAATTTAGAATTTAAACCAAGCTAAGAACATTCCCGTGGTTCTGCGAAGATTACTACTTTATAAATATAACTAAATTCCCTGGGAACAGATGAACCAGGTTTCCCCACAAGTTGATTAAACGGACTCACAACTAGAGATGTTCCAAACACTAAAGTGCAACACAGGTAATAAATAAGATCAAATTTTCTTAAAATGCAGGAAGTTTCGATTAATATATTTATTTAACTCCTTAATTTGGACGGGGTTTTTTTTTACTATTTTTGAAATTGTTCTTCATAGGTGCAAAAACAATTCTATTCTCCCCCCCCCCTCATTTATGCCACCTGGGGGAAGGGGGGTATTCTTAAAAATATACATCCCTGCCCTAGGACCTCTGGCAATGTTTGTATTTTCTACAACTTTTAAGCATTTAAAAAAGGATGATGAAAAAACTTGTCTGAAACCTGATCAACTCTCATGTTAATTTAAATCTGACATTTTTATGAATATCCCCCCACCATACTCATTCTTTATAAATCATAATATTCCCGGTGTAAAAAAAGAGTCTTCAAAGTTTTAAGACGAAAATATCATTAACAGTGTTCCTAGAAGTAAATCACATGCATTGAAGTCTGAATCAATATTCTCATAAAACCTAAAAAAGATTGATATTTAACTATTAATAGTATTTAAGTTTATTTAATCAAAAACGCAAATGTTAAGATCACAACATTGTTTTAAATTACTAATAACTTTGATTTTATGTTTTTTAGTAATTTTTTTGCCAATGAATAAAAAAAAATTAGACATAGTATTCTGACCTTTGAGAATATCTTCAAGCATTTTGCTCTTGGAAGGATTAAAGCATACTGTTATAATCAGCATTTAACTTTTTAATGAAGTGTCCCGTGATTTTGAAAATGAAGTCGCTTTAAAGAGACTAAGCGTAATTTCAAGTAAGTGACCCTCCAGTTTTACAACGGTGTCCTTGAAACCTTTACGTTATCAATTGCTTCTAATAAGCAAAGATGACAATGTTCGATTCACAACGGTACCATTGAAACCTTAATCCGATAAAAAATGTGGAAGATAACGTCGTTTTATTGATTTAAAAAGTTTTGATAATTTCTTGTCCTTGAAACCTTTAGGTTATCAATTGCTTCTAATAAGCAAGAAATGCCCAAGTCACTTTCAAAGAGAAACCGCAAATGAAAGTGAACAGTCTAAATAAACACAAAAACTAGGATATTTAGTTCATATTTGATTAGACAAAGCTTTCAAGGGTACTGTTGTAAATCGGGCATTGCCAGCCTTGCATGTAAGTTCACTTTACATTACGCTTACTGTCCCTTTAACTCCTTCGTATCTAAAAGTGTTTCACCTGTTGGAAAGGGGTTCTCCAAATAGAACAACATCTGGTCTTACAACTCCTTAAACAATAAATTGTCAAATGTCAATCAGCGTCGAACTGTCCATCATTTTTGACAATCCTCAGCCGTTTATCATACATTGTCAATCGTCCAGTACCTAATATCCTTCATTCATTGTCCGTCGTAAATTTTGCATTGTCTGTCATGTATTGTCCGTCATATAAATCCATCTTTCCATCGTTTAGTATCCCTTGTCAACGTCGTTACCTGTCCATCAACTAATTGTCGTCAGTCGTTTGTCGTCATTCCATCGTCCATCGTCCATATATCAGTATTCTAACCTTGTTTACAGGCTGAGCAGTGTGGAACCCCGTCCGTTGAAGAAGGATGAAAGATCTCCTGCTTTAACCATCTCAAGTCATATCTGGAAACAACAAAGGAACTGAACACGTATTTTCAGGGAATTATCTATATCCAATTCACAACGGCACCCTTAAAAGCTTTGTATGATCAAAAATGTGCGAGATAACAATTATCTTCTCTTGAGAAAGTTGATTATTTTTAATTTAAAAACATTATTAGAATATTTTCCAGTTTAATAATTTGATAAAAGACACTGTTGTGAATCTTAAAAATAAAAGATTACTTGAAATTCCATTTTTTATACCGTTATACTTTTAAAGTTTTATAGTTTTTATATTCCCCCCCCCCCCCCCCTTCCCTGAACATTAATATTAAATTCAAAGTTCAAAACTCAAACTTAATATTAAAAATAAAATAGTTTTAGAGAAAAAAATTAGATAAAAAATTTACGTTTCCTTGCAGCTAACACAGTACGCGGTCCTAAAACAAAAATCAATTCTACAAAATCATAAAAAAATTGCAGGAAAATTAGGGTTAAAACAGCGGTTTTATTTTGATCATTAATATATACGAAACCCCTTTTATTTTCATCAAAGCTGAAATGAAATCCAAAAATAGCAGTTTGTCTAGATAAATAAAAGTGAGAACCCATGTGCGGCATTTCCTAAGCTTTTAAAAAAGATTTTTTTCAAAAACAGAAAAATGAGAATTATTCGTCAAAAAAAATAATAATATAAGGATTGATTGGTTTCTGTATTGATGTATTTGTTTGATTGATTGATTGGTTGATTGATTGATTGGTGTGTTCCTGAAGCTACCATGTGCCTCTACGATCTTCTCCTGCGGAACCCCCGCCAGGTATTCAAGGGCTCCAACCGACCAACCAATCATGTGTTTCTTATTTCTTAAGGTTCTAAACATTTTGTTGGAAATTTATCTCAACTCAACTTATGAAAACCATTTAGTATTCAATTTTTTCTATTTTTCTATTTGCTATTTCGAAATAGGTCCAAAAATTCATTGGATCAAAGTAGGGATCCATTGTTTCGAAGAATAGATCCATTGTATCAAAATAAGGATCCATTGTTTGAAAGTAGGGATCCATTGTTTTATGTTTCAGAGGATAGATCCTTTATTTCAAAATGGATTCTAATAATATTCAATACCTAACCCAGCTTTGCCTGGAGACCTTAACAATGTTTTAAACCCAAGCTAACAGTGGTTCTAACCACTTACCCAGTCAAAAAATTATGACAGGACCAGGGACGTTAAATTAGGGATTACTACTTTTAAACGTATCTAAATAATAAAGCAAGACATTCCCTATTGCCGACCAAACAGCTGGATCGAATGGGCTGACATTTATTGAGCGAACCCAGGGATAACAAAGGCTAAAAAAAATTTAACATTTAAAAAAAATACATTTATAAATTTTTTTTTAATTCCACGGGCGACGGCGGGCACTACAGCTAGTATTTACAAAGTTTTTTGGATATTAAATTTGTTTTGCCTAGAGTGTAGAAAGGTTTAGGATCCTGATTGAAGTAACGACCCTAGATAAACAGAAACAACAATTAAAGATCGTCTTTGATTAAAAATAATTTGCAGCATTTATCGATCCATTAATCAACAGTATTTTTCCGGGAACAATAATCACAAAATTCTTCTGGTATTTTAAAAATGTGGTCTGACATTATACCGATGATTTGAAGGAATTCAGATTTCAATTTATTTTATAAAAACCAGAATTGTTTAGATCTGAACAAAGTTCTTTATATCACCAGTAATTTTGAAAGCAGACCACACTTATGAATTGTAAATACTTTAAATTTTTTTCAGTCTTTGATTTTCCTACCTCGAAAACTGCTTCAGGGTAGGGAAGGTCATAGCTTCTCAAGGTCATATATAGACCTGATAAAATTCAAAAATATCAAGGTGGATTATGAAAAGGGTAAAATTTAACACCCCCCCCCCCTTCATTCTCCTCTTTACTGATTACCCCAGAGCTGGAAACTCTGGCAGGGGCGTATTCATGGGGGGCTATGGGGGCTAAGCCCCCCCCTGATCAGTGAAATCTATTGATTTCAGGGGGTTTTCAGACCTCAACGGGTGCTGAGCCCCCCCCCCTGGAGAGATAACAAAATTTAAGCCCTCCCCCCTGGAAAAATTCCTGAATACGCCCCTGAACTCTGGTATTGTAGAAATTGAGATCAATGCTTCATCTCGATCATTGTTAATCTGCAGATCAATTTAATCTTTACTAGATATCCTGCATGGGTTGAAAGGAGCTCTGATCAGGGGAGTAATAACAAAAATGAAAATAGAGAAAGGTATTGTGTATCAAATCTCCTCAAATTTATAGTGCCTAGAGTGGATATCGAGATCAAGCGATCAGGATGATGAGTATCCTCCAACACAAAAGTTCTCAGATTAGGGTTTAAATTAAATCAAGAATGAGGGGGGGGGGGAGGAAGGGATTTTTGATGCCCTGGATGAAAAAACAAATTTTAAATTGGTCATCGACTACCATCGACTATCAAAAAATCGTTTATTTTTCCCATTTCAGACCCCGGAAGTGCGAAACCAATGTGAAAAAAATTAGAACCGGAAGTACCTGCGCTTGGCGACCGGAAGTCGGGTATTCCCGCATTCGTTGAAATACCGGCCCCGCACATAATAACTATATTCTTAAACTCCCCGCCACCTAAAAAGTCAGATTTTAGAGGGGAAAAATCAGTGTTTGGATAAAATACAGAAATCATGAAAAAAACGCAAAATAAGATTTTTCCTAAATATGCTTTTTGGTTTCGTGATTTAAAGAACTTGTATTATTTAAGTGGCCTTGCAATTAAAGAGAAGCATGACCGATTCACAATGGAACCCTTTAAACATTTATTTGATCAATTTTGTGGGAGAAATCGTCGCCTTTCTGGCTTCAAATAATTCTTTAATTCTATTAATTATTTTTCTTCATATTGCTTCAGAGGCAGAAATGCGCAAGTCACTTCATAGAGAACCCAAAATTTAAAATAATCAATTATCAGTTTTCAAAGTGAATATGATTGATATTCTATACATTATTGTTCAGACAAAGCTTTAAAGGATACCGTTTTGAGCCGGCCTATACTGCCATCTTTGCATGGAGGGTTGCTTGAAATTACACCTAGTCCCTTCAATATTAAAAATATTTCTAAATAATAATAGAACTCACCTAGCTTTTGTGTTAGGACTTCTAGATTAAAAGATTCTGACTTACTCCCCCCTCCACCCATCCTATCTATCTATCTATCTATCTGAAATATATATATATATATATACACACAGTAGGATCTAGATGTCATAATTGAATTATAGATCATGGAGCCGTTGTACTTGATTACCTAAAAACGCGCTTTTTAACCTAAAGTCGGAATTACCTAAGTAAGATGTAGTTGAACTAGGCATGACTGGCTGAACTACTTAAATAGTGCACTTGCGGACAATTATTTCAACTATCCATTCCTAGTTCGACTACTTCTCACTATTCCCACATTTTTAAACTTCACTGGTGTCGAGGCAAAAAGCAGCCAAAGTTATCCAGCACAAATAAGCAGAAATGAGTACAAAGGTGCACAAAGGTGCATTAAGGAGCACAAATAAACAAAATTAAGCATAAATGAGCCCAAGTGAGCGAGCACAATTGAGCCCAAATGAGCACAATTGAGCACAAATGAGCACAAAGGAGCCCTTATGAACCTAAAGGAGCACAATTAAGCACAAAAGTGCACAAAGGTGCACAAAGAAGCACAAAGGAACACAAATAAGCACAAATCAGCACAACGACTGTGAACTAGTGCAACTGTGACATCTCTATCTGTGTAATCATCAGATTCTGACAAATAATAAATCTACAGATGAGAAGTAGACAGGAGATCAACGTTTGTTCAGGGGGTATAAATTCACCCCGCCCCCCTCCCCCTTTTTTCAAGATTTGATAAAGAATAATACAAAATTGGACTGGAAAACTTTATTCCCCTTTATAAAACTTTTAACCCAGAAATTAATCTAATTTTCCTTTCTGATCGTATCCTCTGAGATGTTCAAATAAAAAAAAAAATAAAAAAATTAATCCCTCCGCGCAAAAAAATATTTTTATAGCAAGGAAAAATATACACTTATGGCCCTATAGTAGCTTCTGTAGAGAGCTAGAAATTGATTATAAAACATTTAAAACGTTTGCACTGCATCTTGATTCTTCAAACTTAAAGTTTAATTACATTTAACTGTTCAACTTTTATCTAGAAAAGATAAAAACGCAAAAACTGAATTGAAATTTAAAATTATTTGTTTTTGTAAAATATCTTTTTTTGATGAATGAACGTTTATGCATATTAGCAAATTTTATGATAATTTCTTAAAGTAGAAACTTAAACTCAACAATTTTTGAGCAATATTGGGTATCTTATCATCTTAATTATATATCAAATAAAAATTTTGAACAATTGGATGAATGGATAAAATTTAAACAAAAAATAAAAATAAATTTTTTTTGGGATCTTTTCATATATCACAGTTTCTTAGCTTGATTCGCCAAAATGGACATTTTTAGTAATTTACTGGATTTACAGATAAATAATTGATACTTTACTTGATTAGATCAGTAAAATTTAGATTGATCACATAAATATGATAAAATCGATCTAAATTGATCAGCATGTAAATTAGCCAATTATTTTGATCGATCAAATATTTGATTTATAAAATCCAATCAATCAATCCTGTCATCTCTCAAACACTGATTGATCAATAAATCGATCGATCAATCAATTTCCTCCTGTACATCTGTAAAGGGGGGAAACTGTATTTTGCAGTTAGGCAGAGCTATCTTCAACTCACTGTAGAAAATATTCAACTTTAAAAATATTCTAAAAATATTTCTTTAAAAAGGGAAAAAAGGGACTGTGAGCGTAATTTCAAGTGACCCTCCATTCAAAGATGGCAATGTCCGATTCACAACAATACCTTTATCCGATTAACAATGTGGAAAATATTGTTTAATTCTGATCATTCCCAAATGCCTTCCCGCAGTAGAAACGCGCAAGTCACTTCTGTGGACAAATCACAAATGAAAATAATCAGTTTTCAAAATTATAAACATTAATTTCTAATTTAGACTTGGATCAGACAAGGCTTTTAAGGGTACCGTTGTGAATCAGGTAATGTCGTCTTGACATGTATAATAACTTGAAATTACGCTTACAGTCCCTTTAAGAACTAAAATGATCGAAAAAGAATGTAATAAATTAAAAACAAAGTATAAAAGAAATCATCCAAAATTTCAAACCGCAAAAATGTTTCAAAATAAAAGAGAAAAAAGGAATATTGATTCACTGCCTCACCACCTCCAGCTAATATTGATTTACTGCCTCCCCACCTCCAGCTAATTTTTCATTTTTTACAAAAACTGAAAACTACCAAAAGGAAAAAAATCCTAATGTTAAAATGATAAATGGACTATCGATGTAAGTTCTTTATCTGTGCAAAAACGACCAAGATATCCTTGTGTTTCTACCTAAAAATGTGACAATTGTCTTTGTGATCAGTGCTTAAAATAATGTTTAAAATGTATCGTTGGGAATCGGGCATGAAACCTCATTAAAGAAGGTCCCTTGATATTGCATCGATAGTCTCTTTTAACCCATATTTACAAATTTATGTTTAGTTCTTAACATATAACATAGAAAGGGAGGAGGGAAAACTTGAGATTACGCTTGTCTTTATCAAAATGAACTCAGAGTATTCATTGCATAAACTTTTAAATTAAAATATTTAGTCCTTAAAGGGTCTGTATGCGCAACTTTTAACAACCCTTCATTTATGGAAATCCATGTTAGATAATATCGGTCCCTTTAAAAGCTTTGTCTGATCAAGCATGAATTGAATATTCATGTTTACAATATTTTAAGATAGAAAAATGACGTTATCTTCCACATGATTGATCAGACACTGGTTTCAAGGAACCTAACGTTGTAAATCGGTCATGTCCCCTCTCTAAAAAGAGGTTCACTTGAATTTACAGTCCCTTTATGTCGGGTAATAACAACTTGAATATACGGTTACAGTCCCTTTATGTCAGGTAATAACAACTTGAATATACGGTTACAGTCCCTTTATGTCAGGTAATAACAACTTGAATATACGGTTAGCCCCTTTATGTCAGGTAATAACAACTTGAATAAACGGTTACAGTCCCTTTATGTCAGGTAATAACAACTTGAATATACGGTTACAGTCTCTTTATGTCGGGTAATAATAACTTGAATATACGGTTACAGTCTCTTTATGTCGGGTAATAATAACTTGAATATACGGTTACAGTCCCTTTATGTCGGGTAATAACTTGAATATACGGTTACAGTCCCTTTATGTCGGGTAATAACTTGAATATACGGTTACAGTCCCTTTATGTCGGGTAATAATAACTTGAATATACGGTTACAGTCCCTTTATGTCGGGTAATAACTTGAATATACGGTTACAGTCCCTTTATGTCGGGTAATAACTTGAATATACGGTTACAGTCCCTTTATGTCGGGCAATAACTTGAATATACGGTTACAGTCCCTTTATGTCGAGTAATAACAACTTCTAGCCAATCAAAGAACCGTCAAGGGGGGAAAAAACCCGAACTTAATACAATTTAAGATACAAAAATGTTGCTTTTCAGAAGAATTTATAAAAATTAAATTATTTAATAGTTTAAAATATTCCTTAGAACATGTTCCGGGTTCTTGACTTCCGGTAGATTTGATAGTTTCAGGGTCTCCAGTTCCTTCAACACCCGTATAAACAGAACACCTAGACAGCAACATTTCAGGAGTGTATATTTTGCTAAAAAAAAACATTACCCCCCCCCCTCTTTTGAAAATCATTTTGTTTCCTCTAGAAGTTAGGTATTGAGGGTTTTATTCGCTGAAATCATCCCCCCCCCCCAAGTTATTTCCATAAAATTTACATTATAAACCCCTGCAACATTTTTAACAAAGCCGAGTAGGACAATGGCCGAAATTATTCAAATTTCAGTATTTTTATAACTAGCATAGGGGGAGGGGTATAGTTTTAGTACATATTTGGCTGTGTTGTATTAGAACTGCTAAAACACAATATCAAAACATAAAAATGTTTTAAAATTAAACAAAAGTCGGAATTTTACTGAGGAAAACAGGAATGAGAATTTATTGTTTACTATCAATAAACCAGTTTCTTAACAGTTCTAATACGTCAAAGTTAATTGTAAACAAACCCCTACCCCTCCCCAAGTATGATCCCCCCCCTCCCCATCATAATTAAATGTAAGCCCCCAACTTCCCCCCGTACTTCTTTAAGAATAAAACCTTTCTCCGTGATATTCCCGTTTCCTCCCAGCTCCAGTTCCTTCAGTTTACTCCTGGTATACGAGCATAGGAATCCTAGATACAGCAATCAATTAATCAATCNAATCCTTCCTCCATGATCGCAGAACCTGTTCCGTCGATCTCAGCGATCTTTAGAGTTCTAGGAAATTCATTAGTTTAATATCGACAATCTTAGAGTTCTAGGAAACTCATTAGTTTAATATTAGCAATCTTAAAGTTCTAGGAAACTCATTAGTTTAATATTAGCAATCTTAAGAGTTTAATATCTCATTAGTTTAATATCAGCAATCTTAAAGTTCTAGGAAATTCATTAGTTTAATATTAGCAATCTTAGATTTCTAGGAAACTCATTAGTTTAATAAAGAACGTTGAAGAAAATTCATTAGTCTGTCATCTAGCAAATTCTTTTTCCTTTGTTTCTTAGATCGTTAAGATTTCTCTAGATTTGATTGCTTTATTATTTCTAAACGTACTTACAAATGCTAAAAACAACTTACGTTAGTGCTTGGACATGCCATTATTTATTTAAATAGCACGTTAGTGCTAAGACGTGCCATTATTTATATAACGAGTATATTAGTGCTAGGACATGCTATTATTTATATAATGAGCATGTTAGTGCTAGGACGTGTCATTATTTATATAATGAACATGTTAGTTCTAGGACATGCCATTATTTATATAACAAGCATGTTAGTGCTAGGACATGTCATTATTTATATAATGAGGATGTTAGTGCTAGGATGTGTCATTATTTATATAATGAGCATGTTAGTGCTAGGACATGCTATTATTTATATAATGAGGATGTTAGTGCTAGGATGTGTCATTATTTATATAACAAGCATGTTAGTGCTAGGACATGCCATTATTTATATAATGAGGATGTTAGTGCTAGGATGTGTCATTATTTATATAATGAGCATGTTAGTGCTAGGACATGCTATTATTTATTTAACGAGCATGTTAGTGATAGGACATGCCATTATTTATATAACGAGTATATTAGTGCTAGGACATGCTATTATTTATATAATAAGCATGTTAGTGCTAGGACGTGTCATTATTTATATAATGAGCATGTTAGTTCTAGGACATGCCATTATTTATATAATAAGCATGTTAGTGCTAGGACGTGATATTATTTATATAATGAGCATGTTAGTGCTAGGACATGCCATTTTTTATATAACAAGCATGTTAGTGCTAGGACGTGTCATTATTTATGTTAGTGATAGGACGTGCCATTATTTATATAATGAGCATGTTAGTGCTAGGATGTGTCATTATTTATATAATGAGCATGCTAGTGCTAGGACGTGCCATTATTTATATAACGAGCATGTTAGTGCTAGGACATGCCATTATTCATATAATGAGCATGTTAGTGCTAGGACATGTTATTATTTATATATTGAGCATGTTAGCTTTAGAACGTGGCATTATTTATATAATGAGCATGTTAGTGCTAGGACATGCCATTATTTATATAACAAACATGTTAGTGCTAGGATGTGCCATTATTTATATAACGAGCATGTTAGTGCTAGGACATGTTATTATTTATATAATGAGCATGTTAGTGCTAGGACATGCTATTATTTATATAACGAGCATGTTAGTGCTAGGACATGTTATTATTTATATAATGAGCATGTTAGTGCTAGGACATGCTATTATTTATATAACGAGTATGTTAGTACTAGGACATGCCATTATTTATATAAAGAGCACGTTAGTGCTAGGACGTGCCATTATTTATATAACAAGCATGTTAGTGCTAGGACATGTTATTATTTATATAATGAGCATGTTAGTGCTAGGACATGCCATTATTTATATAACAAGCATTTTAGAGCATGTTATTATTATAATGTTAAAACAAGTTAGTTGTAGAATGTCATGAACAAAATAAATACCTGTAATTCCCTGCGGGGAGGGCATTATAATCCGTCAACATTCTTCCTCCCCCCTCCCACTTCACCCCTCCACCACACCTAATTTATAGAGGTTTTATCCGTACATAGGATTCGGCTACGTTGGAACCGCAACATTTTTGCTTCCTGGATCCAAGGGGCAAAATATCAATTAAATACTGCCAAAAAAAATTTTGCTCTCAAAACCCAAATCTGAACTGTTTTTTTGTTATTTCTAAATGGTTCATGAAGATTAAGCACAAAAATTGGCGAAAAAAAGAAAGAAAAAAAATTGAAAATTCTTCTTACAAATCTGTAAATCTTAGAGAATGTTCATGACCTGACTCCAGATCCGGATCCATTTTTTTTATTTAGATTTAAACTTATTTAAAAGCAGGGTGTTGTCAAAATCATCTTCAATATCAAATCTTGTATAAAAGCAAGTGTGTGTATGTTATGTTATGTTATGCTTTAAAGTTAAAGATTAAGGAAGGTTTTGAATCACGGATTCAGATTTGAACCGACGGTAGACAATTCAAATTTCATTAAATTCGGTCCTGTGACACTTAGTAACAATTCAAAATGTTATATCAATTATATATACTCCCCTGATCGGACTTTAGAATGGGATATCCCTAATCCCAATCAGTAAATTAATCTTAAGATTAATAACAAGAGGAGAACAAGCAAAAAGAAGAGATCAAGCATTGATCTCGATATCCACTAGAACTTTTGAGAAACAATGGAGAAATTCAAAGAAATAACACTTTTCAAGTAAAAAAATCGACGTCATCTTCCCCATTTTTTAATCAGATTAAGGTTTCAAGGGTACCGTTGTAAATCTGGCATTGCTATCTTAGCATGGAGGGTCACTTAAAATTACGCTTACAGTCCCTTTAATATTTNATCAGACAGAACTTTTAAGGGTGCCGTTGTGAATCGGGCATTGCCATTTTTGCAGAGAGGGTCCCAAAAATTTACGCTTACAGTCACTTTAATCCAATAATTAACTGATTTCCACCCAAAACCTAATATAATTTACTCAACAAAGCGAATAAAACCTACAAAATAATTTTAGCCACAAATACAAAAAAAATTGCGATTGTTTCACGAAAATATCCTACTTTTCACTATAGGGGCTTTCCACTTTATATTTATATGATTATCACTTATTCTTTCGGTCAGTTTTGGTACGCCTTGTATATCAGGCCGGGCATGTGAAATTTTAAAATTCATCGACAGTAGACAATGTAGAGTTTTTCGCTTAAAAAAAAGCTAAGTTAGTTTTAATGCAGGTTATTGACGGCCCTGGGAACTGTCTTAACTTTTATCTGATTTAATCAAGTCACGTCAGAGAAAAAGCATTGATCGATATTATTGATGGCTTGGTCCCTGGATTAAATCATAATTATGAAAATATTAGTGTCCTTAACATAGATTGCATTTAAATTTAACAATTTTTACCTGTTTTGTCTCAAAAAGATCCTATTTGTAGGTTTTAAAATTCGAGAAATATTTCTAACTCCGCTCATTTTGAAATCTAAGATGTACACTGATCAGCTGATTAGTTCATAGTGTACTCTAGAAAATACGCAATTAAATATTTAAGAAAATATCGTCTTTTCCTAAAAGAATGTCGTCGTGCTCAATATAAGATTAAATGTCAGCTTTAAAGGTAGAACATTTTTAAAAAGTAGAAATTAAGAATAGATAATTGATTATTTAAGCAACTGCCTTGTGTTATAAAACGGGACATTATGTTGTTTGCCGGGATTTTTACTTAATTTAGTTTGTTGGAGGTTAAAATTCAAGCCTTTTAATCGGCCATTCCCATACGTTATAGTGATCAGATTTAAAGGCTGGAATTTTAACCGAAAACAAACAAAATTAAGTAGAAATCCCGGCATAAATATCATTTCCCAAATTATACACAAGGCAGTTGCTTAAATAATATTATTCCCTGTAAAACCGAAAAAACACACAAAAAACCCTCTAAAATCCGCAAAAATTTAGTTTTAAAAAATAAATCTTCATTGGACATTATTTCTCATATCCCAGGACAATTATGAGAAATAATATCCCAGAAGATTTTCAAATTACGGGAAAATACACGGGACATTAATTTTCTCTCAAAATGAAATATCTGAAAACTTTAGAATAAAATATCCTTAAAATCCCGATCGGTTAATTAATCTGGAGATTAATAACAAGAGGATAACAATACAGAGGCGTAACTATAAGGGGGGGGGGCGGCCGGGTGCGCGCCCTCTTCTAGCACCTGGAGAGGGGGGGCGCCCCCCCCCTTCAGAATGAAAAGAAAGATTGGCGAATATCATTATCACAGGAGTCAGGAATAATAAAACCAAATTTCAAGCAGGGGCGTATTCAGGAATTTGTCCAGGGGGAGGCTACCATTTTTCTTTCCAGGGGAGGGGGGCTTAGCACCCGTTAAGGGCCCTGAAAACCCACATGGAATCAATAGATTTCACTGGTCCAGGGGGAGGGGCTGAGCCCCCCCCCCTGAATACGCCTCTACCTTGAAGGAATTAGGCCTTTCGGGACTTGAAACCCCCTGGGAACCATAGATTTCCGTGATGCGGATGGGTTGACCCCGGAAAGACCCCTAATCCCTATAAAGCGAACATACGCCCCTTTTATCATGAACTATTTGGCCGTATCTGAGATACTTGGCTTTAATAAAGTACATATATATACTAAAGCTGCACCGTGATCAATAACTGCAGTACTGAGTTACTAATTCACCCGAGCTTGCTTTGCTAATAACCATGATTTGGTTCCCTTGGCAATATATTTGTATTTTCACAACGTTTATGTGAACTTGATAAATACTTAGAATTTCTTATACTTACAGAATTTCTAAACATCCGTAATTTTTTATTTTCAAGTAAAAACGGCGTTTTTAATGTTATCCGAATATTTCTAACTTTTCTAGATTTATGGTTGCTGGTTTTTCCATAATATTAAATTTGTGCACGGAGACACCTTGCGGAGAGATTCGGAACTTTTGATAGCGTATTTCTGTTTGTGCACAACAGTCGGATTTTGTCTAACTCTCACACTCTAGGAAAACGTGTATATAGGGAGGGGGCATCACAGAAAAAGGGTACCCCCCACCTCAATAGGAATTTTCTTAACTTATTTGCTTAG